AGTGGAGTGGCTGCGGTTACCACGGGAACCCTGCCTCCCCTTTATCTAGCATGGCAGGGCATATAGAAAGCCGACAAGCATAAATCCTATTAAGAAAAGCCCAGGGTTATGCACCATTGATGTAGGGAACATCACAGAATTTACTATTAGAATCTGTACTTGGTGCAAAAAAACCACATGCATTCCTTAGACTTGTCTGTTCATTAGATTTGGGGATCATGTTGTTGATTTTTCCAATCTCAAGCAGAGTGTGGATGACAAAATCTGGGGAGATTACTAGGGGAATGGGGAGGAAGCCAGCCTTTGATTTTCCATCGGTATCCCCAATAACAAAGGGGTGCCTCAGACATGTTGTAAAAACAGCGTATACAAAATACCCAGCTGGCTGCGGAGTATAAACTAGGCACTCCTTGGAATTAAAGATTGGGCTTAACAAAGCTCTTTTGTAGGCTAACAGCCTCCTGTGCTACTAGGGAAGCCCTGAGCCCTGGCCATGTGCTCAGAAAGCCCCTCACAGGACTCTCACCTCCCAGTTACTCCCAGAGATCAGCTGGCTTCTGCCGCGGTGAGATTGCAGGATTGATCCTTTACGAGGCATAGTCACTGGATTTCATATCCACACCTACATATGCCATGCAATTCATCAGTGATGTAATTGTCTTTTTTTTGTATATAAGTCATTATCAGGACTCCTTCTTCCGTCCTCCGTGGAGTCTGGGTGACATTTGACTGGAAATGGGTTTGAATCTGGAAAGAATCAAGATTTTCCTTATTTTCCAATTGCACATGTTTCAAAGGGAAGATTTAACAGGAGTCTCTAGCCTGATAATCAGAAGATCTAAATTCAGTCCGAGGCTGGATACCTTTGGCTTCCAGATATGCGTCTGCCATGTTTATGTATAAGCAGACATATTCTTGCCTCACGTTGCCTATTTTACGCTTAGGAGGAATTTGCCAAGAGTTGGGAGTGGAGTGGCTGCGGTTACCACGGGAACCCTGCCTCCCCTTTATCTAGCATGGCAGGGCATATAGAAAGCCGACAAGCATAAATCCTATTAAGAAAAGCCCAGGGTTATGCACCATTGATGTAGGGAACATCACAGAATTTACTATTAGAATCTGTACTTGGTGCAAAAAAACCACATGCATTCCTTAGACTTGTCTGTTCATTAGATTTGGGGATCATGTTGTTGATTTTTCCAATCTCAAGCAGAGTGTGGATGACAAAATCTGGGGAGATTACTAGGGGAATGGGGAGGAAGCCAGCCTTTGATTTTCCATCGGTATCCCCAATAACAAAGGGGTGCCTCAGACATGTTGTAAAAACAGCGTATACAAAATACCCAGCTGGCTGCGGAGTATAAACTAGGCACTCCTTGGAATTAAAGATTGGGCTTAACAAAGCTCTTTTGTAGGCTAACAGCCTCCTGTGCTACTAGGGAAGCCCTGAGCCCTGGCCATGTGCTCAGAAAGCCCCTCACAGGACTCTCACCTCCCAGTTACTCCCAGAGATCAGCTGGCTTCTGCCGCGGTGAGATTGCAGGATTGATCCTTTACGAGGCATAGTCACTGGATTTCATATCCACACCTACATATGCCATGCAATTCATCAGTGATGTAATTGTCTTTTTTTTGTATATAAGTCATTATCAGGTATATTGGGGACAATAACCAGATAGCCAAGAAACAATCATGACCAACAGCAGCTGGCTGACGGATGCGTCTTGGACAGGAGAACAAAACTGCGTTGGGGAGAAAGTCAGTCTTAGCGCACAAGAACGCAAAACAGCTGTCATGTTGGTGGCTCTGAGCTTATGGACATGGAGATTGTCTCTTTATTATGCCGCATGATAAATAAGAATATTCCCCCCTCCAACCCGAACAGCTTTGCGGTGGATTTCTTTGACCCTCCCTAAATCTTAGCGTGCAGATGAATGGCTCATTAAGCTCAGAGGAACTTGCTTTCCTATTACCACTTGTCAACAGCACAACACCCAGGAAAGCTTTTTGAAAGAGGGGGAAAGGCTTGAAGAACTTCTAAATGAATCTTCTTTGTGTGTGTCTGTGAATGGGACAATTTGGCTTGGGTTTGTTTTAAACGCAAGGATTCCAGTTTTTTTAAAAACTGGCAAGCATGTCACGAAATATCCCCTACCTTAAAATTAAGTTATGTGTAATTTGCAAAAATTAACCTTTTCTCATTAGTAGATGCAGCTTTAGAAACTGTTTCACAAACAGGACACAGCTTTTGTTAATTTCCTTGTGGAGGGATTCCACAGCAAAAACATTTAAATCTAAGCCCTGACAAGTGTGCACAAGGTTAGAGCATTTTTTACGAATACGGCCAGGTGGACACTGTTTTTAAATCTCCAGTTTTCTCTAGCACGGGGAACACCCCTGCTTTGGTAACATGCTAGTTGGCATTAACTTGAACACAGTAACAAAAAATGGACTTTAAAAAAAAGAACTATCAGTAGCAATCAAAATTTCCTTTATTAAACAGCTGACCAGTAATCTCCCCAGGACTCCGGGATGGACTGTCAGGGCTGGTTCCCTAGGAGATGACGGACGTTAACCTGTTTGCTGCCGTAGGACTGAAATAAATTATCTGAGCAGCATCCTGAGGCCCACAGGCCTGCATAGGGCTCATTAATCAGTGGTCAAAAGCTTCCATTTCAGAGGCTCGTGGTCTGTAAAAAGGGTCTAAGATCAGGGTGTATCTAGATGCAAATTTGACTTCCCTGGGCTTTTGGGGTACCTTGCCTTAAGTTTTTATTTGACGTTGCATATACAAGAATGCATCTTTAGTTAACAATGGTCAGCATTTGAGAGCTCTCTGTCTTGTCCAGTCTTACAGAGAACACCGATGTCTCCTTTCATGACGTCTCAGACCAGACTAGTTCCAGAACTGGGGTTCAAGAAATACAGTATTTCATTTTGGGGTATATTTTTATTTTTAAAAATGCTACTTTGAAAAAATATGAATTACTTTGTAATTATCCATACATCCTTTGATTCACATATATATATATATATATATATATATATATATATATACACACACACACATGTATATACACATATATTTCATTATCCTAAAATAATACCTCTTTAGGTGCTCAGCCTACAGCTCTCATAGGTATCAAGCCGGAGTTCGCAGTTGGCGAGAGGTGATGGCACAGGAGAGCATCGATCCAGGCGTGAGAAGCTCAAGCTCTTCCCAGCTCTGTTTGTTAAATGACCTCAAATAAGTCACAGCTTCTGCAGCCTCAGTTTCTGCAGATGGAGAAAGGCAGGCTCAAAGGAAGGGTTTGAAAGGGGATGATGAACTTTAATCTCTTACACAAATTGATGTGTTTATTTCCATACTTTCATGTCAGCTTTGTAAGACATTAAAAAATGACATTTCGATATGATTCAATAGAATTGCCAATTGTAAGAAAAGCACAGAGAGCAGGATTTAGTTGGTTTCATTGTTTACAGGCTTATTTTTGGCTACTGCTAAATTCCCCCTCTCAATCAGAGAGGCACCCCTTACTCATCACACTGAAATGAAATAATTTTGTAATTTTGTACATTTGTAAATGTTAGCATTCTATATGCTGCTTGATTTTCTTATCCAAGGAACGTACCCAAGAAAATTCATGGAGTCACTACTTGTGTCAGACCATCCTTTTTATATTTTGCTTGGAGCCTTGCAAACCTTAGCTCCCCCCCCCCCCCCCCATTGTCCTTGCATTATTACCGTTATTCACAATGATGTTGGCAAGTTTTCTTTAACCTCATAGGATGATCCTAACCTGAACAGCTATTTCCACAGCCAGAAACAGCAATAGTGAAAACCCGTGATGAGCCAGGAAAGTATAACAAAGGAGAATGTTTATCCCAGTCAAGGATTTATGTTGAGATGCACACCTCATACATACAGGCTTCATCTTAATGCATTTACACTTCATTTTGTTCCCAGTTTCTAATTTCTAATTTTTTAGGAGAGAATTGTGCTCCAGAAATTTTTCTTCTAGTCAAAGCCATGAGGCCATGGAAAAATAGAGTTTGAAAAATTAGGCCAAGTAAAATGAGTGTTCTCTTTCGAGAAACATACAGAGACTCAATTATAAAGGCAGTGGCTGACTTATTCGCTATTTATTCTTGTACAGGTTTCTGTTGGAAAGAGCTTGCAGTTGAAATGTGTGTGTGTGTGTGTGTGCGTGTGTGTGTGCACATGTACACAAATATGCATGCAGGCGTGTGTGTGTGCACACTCACACAATGAGAGCCAGAAGATTAACAGAATTACAGAGTAACAAAACTTCCTTGAAAGTTGGAATCAATTACCCAGTCTGATTCTACCACACTTACACGCTTCCATAGTGAAAGCACCACATTGTAATTTCTCCGTTCACCATGTGATCAAACGATAAGTATTCCTAAGCATTACCAAAACGGGTGCTATATTTACGTGCTAAAACACTACCGCCCGTGTGACAGTGAGAAAGAGACAGAAATGTCAACCAGAGACTCCTTCACTGACACCATACCTAAGCTGATGAACCAAAGTCATTAAAGAAAAGCCTTGCTGGTTGGGTAGCATCCAGACTTTGAACTTACCAATGCCTTAGGTATTTTAGAGATTTATTCATGAAAGTCAATCCTAGATTTAAATTCAGAATGGGCGAAAGGGCTGCTCACTCCAGAAGCCTGCAGGGACCCTGTGGCCCACTGCTAGGCAACAGCCCATCTCCAGCACAGCAAACATACAGACCACGAAATGAATGACCTCATCTACAAATCAGCTATTTGATATGCAGATCGGACCACAGGCCTCTTCAATAACACAGCACTTCTCAGGGAGGAGGTGCAGTGGAGAAGTGAGTGGCCTTTCCTCGGGACAAAAGCTGGGCTGCCTTACTCTCCCTCTGGCCCTTAACAATTTCTGAAGCTCTATTATCTTCATTTTTTATTTAGACGGTCCATTTACAAAACCAGGGTTCATCCTCTGCTCGTGGGTCAGGGGCCTAACCTTAAGCCTAGACAAGAAACAGGACTTAGAAGCCACATGTGCAATTGAAGGATAACGTTATCCGGACTCCTCTTAATAGATAATAGAACAAAACAAAAATATGGGTAGTCAGGCCACCGTGCAGTCCCACACCCTCTTCCACATCTCACATTCCTAATGCATTTGCCAACTTGAGAATAGCTATCGATGCCTGCAGAAGGAAAGGCATGTTTTTCCATTTGTGTTGAAGTAACAGTGCAAGTTGATGAAGGCATGAAAATGTCCACCTTGATTCTTTATTGATAGTTTTCTTTTGTGGTCACAGTTTCACTCAGCACGGTGGTGTGGATGCCTGCAATCAGACAGACAGGTTGCTGGGACACAGGACGAAGGTGTTTTCAGCAGACGAGTAAAAAAATAAACAATTCATCCCACCTACACCCTCCACTTCCCAGACTTCACACCTACAGTGAGTCCTGCGTGTGCTTCATACGGCCGTAAAGTGCAGTGTAATATAATTTATATTGTCAGTGGTTGAGGGTTATATCCTGAAAGTCATAAACTATTACCATTTTATGGCTCTGCTGCAGCTATTAACTAAATGAAAGAGTCATTCATTTGAAATCTGGAATCTGTACAATGCCCAAGCTTAAATTCATCAAGGTCCACTGGTGTAAAATATGTGAAAATACTAAAGCTAAAAGATAATACAAAGCAGGGGTGGTGGGTGGGGCAGGAGAGGGCGTGGAGTGCAACCCCGCAGAGCTAGTGTGTGACACAGAGTATTTGTGGGATTTCTAGCCACCCTTACTTTTGCATTTCCAGAGGGTCTCATATTCTAGTCCTAGAGTTGAATCACATCAGTTGGTTTGTATTGGTTTGTATAAATGTTGTAAATCAAGTAAAAAGACTGTATACTTATCCTGACATATTTCCACAGCTACTGGAAATGTGTGTGTGTGGTGTGTGCGGTGTGTGTGGTGTGTGTGCATCTAGGTATAGATGTAGAAAGAGGGACAGAGAGGCGAGGTGGGATAAAAAATGTTTGGTTTTGGCATAAAAATTTGCACTGCTTGGGTCAGGGGTCAATGATTTTCTTTTCAACTGTTTCTACACGTATCTATGTTCAGGGTCTATGATTTCTTTTTCATTTGAGTGAATATAAGCAAGTCACAATAAATGTGCTTATTTTGCTGACTCTGGAGATCTTGAGCACCAGGCGACATCCCCTCAACCCGCTGGCTGGAGATACAGTTTTGAATCTTCCTTAGCATTGGAGAAATCGCTGCATCAAGAGTCATAGATGCCACTGGGGAAAAACACAGTTTGGGGTTTTACTTTAACAAACAAACAAACAAAGAAGGTCGAAGCTTGGAAAGAGTGCTGAATGGGCATTGAGATCTTGTGGAAGTCCTTTTATCTATCAATCCAAGAAGTAGAGAAGCTGCTTGAAGACCCCTGACCCCCAAATTCAGAGCATGTGATGCTATTTTCAGGTGCCAACCGGGACCTTTGTTACCCATGTGATAGTCACACAACACTTCTGTGTCCCCACCAGTTCCCCTGCTGAAGGCCCAAGCCCCTGTGTGAGTATATTTGGGACGAGGTGTCCAAGAGAATAATTAAGGCTAAATGAGGTCATGAGCGTGGGCCCTGACCCAGTGGGATCCGAGCCCTTAGAAGAGACACCTGTGCGCCCTCTGTCTCTCCCCATGCCCGGGGGAGGAGGGCCCCATGCAGCTGCCTGCAAGCAGGGAAGAGGCTGTGGCCAGGAAACAGCCCTCCTCCAGAACTGCAGGAAAACAAAGTTTTGTTGTGCGAGCCCCCCAGTCTATGGGGTTTCCTTATGGTAACCCCAGAAGACTAATATGTGCTCTTTGTATGGAAACATTTTGTTTCATAAGATCTGAAAAACAAAATTTTAACATTTACATGTAGTGTACTGCATGCCGACACTCTGGGCAGCTGGAAAATCAATAAATGCAGTGAATCAAAATTGTCCTTTGCGGAATTTTTTTTTTTAAGGCAAAATGTTGAACTATTCTTATCATGTAGGTATTATTTCAAAAGCCCCAGAGAAGTGATACTACTAATAAATACCTGTGACACATGTCCTGTGTTCACATTGCCCTTTAAGGCTTCATTGTAAGATCACAGCGGTAACAAGAAGGGCAGGGCCTTGGAACTCAAGGAGCTGCCCTTTGAGTTGAGGTTTAAAATAAAAGTACAGACAGGAAAGGAAAGTGCGGTGCAGCACTGGGTACATGCCGGGCATTTTATTAATATCCTATTTAACTGCATTTCCAGTAGTCATAAATAAGCACTGATTTCCCACTTAGTAGGTGAGGAAAACTGAGATTGAGTGAGCTGAGCTAACTGACCCAAAGTCATCACAAAATTAGAGGAGCTGGGATCCAGGCCCCAGTTTCCAGACCTCAGCGGCCCCCTCAGTGCCTCTGTGTGCCGGTGAAGAGGGGTTCCCCCCCTCACGGCCAGCTCCTCAAGAACAGGCCAGCTCCGGAGACACAAAGAGGGAAAAGAAGCACCTTCTGGGTGAGAAGAAAAGGAGTGAGTGAAGATGCGGGTTTGAGAAAAAAGCGCAATATGCAGAGTACTGGCAAAATCCATTTGGCTGAATCATAACAAGAATGCAGAGCATTTAGCCATAGATTGTGAAGGGCGCAACTCCAGGCCCTGGAGACTGTTCTCCAAAGACTGCTGGGGCCTTAGAATCTTTGGGAACTAGAGCCCCCCTGGAAGGAGCACACTGCAACTTGCACCAGTAACACAAGGTGCCTTTCCCAAGACCGGCCACGTGCCTTCTGCATCGGTGCCCAGGAAGCGCAGAGGCAGGGAGCGCGCTATTGGTTTACTTGAGTTGGACTTCATCTGATCTCATGTGAGGCACCACGGGCTCTGTACTAAATGGAGTCACACCCTTTCCTCCATGGTGTCCCTGCCTCTCTGGGAGCCCCCGTGAAGGAACCGTACCTGTTCCGGGGGCAGGTGGTAACTTCTCAAGGCTTCTCAGCGGCATGGCTGCTCTGCCAGCTCCGGACCTGTCCTAGTGCCACCATGTCACACAGTAGGTGCTCAGCACAGATCCATTCATGGCGGATGAGGGACAGTGCAGCCCAGTCAGAGTTCCTCTGATTTCAGAAACAGGTGGTCAGACCTGGAACTCTCAGGTGCATGCTGTGAGGACAAATGGTGGGCTGAAGAAATGAAGAATCAGCACCCCTGGAGAGGGGGTAGAGTTTACGTCTTTTAAACCAAGTCTCATTTATTGTGGACATGCTGCCAAAGAATGGTTGAAAATTAGTTCTAATCCGATGTGCATATTAACATAAAAAGATACATTCATGTAAATGTTTTATTTGAAATAGACCCGTGAGCACAGCGACCAAAATCTTTTGAAGATTTATATTTTTTTGAACAATATCACTGTCTTGGTTAAAACAAGTGAGGGGGAGGTGCATTCTTGTATTTCGGCAAAGCAGCAGAGAATATGAAGGAAAGCACCGCATGGTGGACGGGACAAACGGATGTGGCTGTGCACCCAGGTTATAGGAGCTTCTCCACATTGAATTTGCAGAGCAGAGCAACGTGGGCTTCTTCGCACAGATGTGATACATTCTCCATTCTCCATTCTCTCTCCACCATTTGCCTCCTGAAACGAAAGCAGAAGGCTCACTCCCTGCACACAGGTTCCGTGGGGTGCTGTGCAACACGCAGTGACAGAGCCACAGGCAGGGGTCCTGGTGTTTCTACTGATACATAGTTGATATACAATATTATATTGGTCTCAGGTGTACATACAGTGATTCAGCAATCACACACGTTGTAGGTGTGGTCTCCGCCTGCCCACTAAGCCAGGCAATTCCTAACAGGTGGCCCTTGACAAGGTCTTGCCAAAATGGCTCCCCGCTGACCTACACCCGGCCTGTCACTTCTGTTCTTTATCCAGGAGAATGTGGGTAATCTTCCTATACTTTCTCTAGGCTTAAATTATTTATTTAAATGCTTTTCAATTTGGCACAATCCCAAAGCACATTTTTTTTTTCCTGCCAGCAATTTCGTCTCCTTTTTGCTAAGCCTGTGTCTATTTCAAGTGAATTCTCATCCATATGTTCCTCATTTCTGGTCTCTTAATTCATCTATATGTTGTTTAGTTTGTTACTTGACACCTGCTTTTTTAGGTTCCTACTAAGGTTTGTATACTTATTTTATTGTTGCCTTCCAAAAAAAAAAAAAGCCTTATTTAAGCATTGCGGGAAATAGTTATGTATTAATGAACTTGAATATCTCCTCCTCTGCACCCCAAGTAGGAATATCATTGATGGTGGATTCAGGAAGCCAGGCCTGGAACAGGGCGGCCCATGTAGCATCTCCAGTCCTCCCATTGACCTGTAAAGAAGTCTCAGCCCCTGTTCTGCAGGTGGACCCACAGGAGAAAGAGCACACCTGAGGTGGAATACTACTCGACGAAGACTTTCCGTTTAGAGCACTCTGCTTGCCAAAGTCCACACTCTTCCCTTCATTTCCCCACTGCCTGGTACAGTATCTAACTTGGAAGGAAGGCAAGCTTATGCGAATGTACATTTATTTATATTCCAGATAAAATGTGCTACCTTTGGGGAGATTCCAGGGAAAATCTTTGCTCCTTTCTGGAGTTGTGTTTTCATTATTCTTGTTGGAAAGTCAGTTACAGCATCTCTTTGTTCCTTCTTCCTGGAGACCTCAGTTTCTCAACAGAGGACCACACATCAGTTGATACCTGGACCAGTGGACCTGTGGAATTTTGGAGGCTCTGGGTGTCCGTGTCTCCATCTGCTAAGGGGCACGATGATACGTGTTCATAATTCTGACCGCCAATCCCAATGCGTTGAGGCTTTTTCCACACCACAGAGCAATCCTCAGACACCACCTGGGTGTCCTAAAATTCAACTCGGTTCTGACACTATCTCCCTGGAGAGAGCACCAGACCCTGCAGGTAAGGCCTGGCCCCACAGTGCTGCCCTCCCCTCCCCACTCCAGACTCTAGCTGCAAGCTCAGGTGGTCTCCTGCGCTTCTGACCAACTGGCTATAGATCAGAGTTTCCAATGTGGGTTTCATTAATTTGCTACACAGACTCAGAGAAACATTTTCCTCAGATTGCTGGTTTATTATAAAAGGATATAACTCAGGAACAGCTGGGTGGAAGAGATGCACAGGGCAACAGCTTCTATGTTCTCTAAGCCTGCCATTCTTCCCAGATTTCCATGTTTCATCATTCTGGAAGCTCTCCATACACTGTATTTTGGGGTTCTAAGGAAGACTTCATTATTTGGGCATAATTAATTAACCCCTTGGCTACTGACCGTCCATTCAACCTGCAGCCTCTCCCCTTCCCCACAGGTCAGGGGTGAGAGTGAAAGGCTCAACTCTCTGATCACATGGCTGTTCTCCTGGGACCCAGCCCCCATCCTTAGGTACTTTCCCAAAGCACCCCATCAACAACGTAAGACAGCTTTATCAGTCTCCTCACTTCGGAAGTTCCAAGGGTTTTAGGAACTCTGTGCCACAAAGGGGGATGGAGGATAAATATGTATTTCTTATTATAAATCACAGTATCACATGCACCTTGTCCTTACAAGGGTGCTGTGAGATCAACTCAGGTCACACCAACATGAGCCACTGTCAGGGGAGACTGATGCACCTGTGCTCAGAGATGTGCATCCCATCTCAGAAGCCCTACTGTCCTCTGGGCTTGGGTCCCATAAAGAGACCTCCCTGGAAAGTCATCCTGGGTTCCAAACCAGGTGGATATGTGCAGGGAAAATATTTCCAGAAAGCTTTTGGAAGGACTTCCAGGGGTATACTTCTTGGGAACAGTGGGCCTTTGTCATAGGACCCTTCTCAACAGCTTCTTATTCTCCTTAGGAAAAGCCAAGGGACCATCCATCTCACGGATGAAATAGGGGCTCAAACAAGGGAAGGGACCACAATATCCTGCCCCCCACCACCGCCCAGAGCCCTGGGTGGGGACAGACACACATGCATGGTCCCACGGAAGGACACACACATTCTGAAAAAGGCAGAATGACTGGCTGGCCTCAGCAAATAATTAGCTCACAAATAATCTGGAAGTTATATTTAAGTCACAGCACTGAATAAAATAATAGCAGTAAACAGCACATATTGGACTGAAGCTAAGTGAAAGGCAACTTGCTGAGAACTTTGCACGTGCCGTCCCGAGAACTCCCACTACCCTGCCGGGCACGTTAATGCCAGCTTTATGGAGGGGAGGGGGAGCTTCTATGGTGATGTAAGCAGTCGCACTCCGGGGCCAGTGCAGGGCTGAGCTCAGACTCTGACGGGGTCCGCCTGACCCCCACACCTGAGTCCTGTCTGGGCAATGCGGGAATCGCCCAAGTTACTGCCACTGCTGAATATTCCAATTACACATGCGCTATATTTCAAACATGAAAATGATTTGTGTAGGTTGGTTTACACAGGAGTGACATTCAATAGAGGAAATACATTCCTTGATCTTTGATTTGCTTAACAAGCAGCTTTCAACTTTCAGTTTTATTAATTGCTCTGAAAACCTGCAATTTAGGTAAAACTAATTACATTTGATTTTACTCATTTTGTTAGTTCCTTTCTAATATAAGTGGGATTGAAAACAATCACTCTCATCTATATGTGTCATATATGATATGACAATAAGAAATACGGGGAGACATCTATCCACTCCTTCAAAATGAGATCTAACTTGATTTCTGATGAAGGGTTTGCTCTTGTAAGAAATTGCCTTGACAAGTCTTTTCTTTCAGAAACCTTTTTTTTTTTTCTCTTGTTTCTTTTTAAAACCCAATTTCTTAGCCTCTGATGCCTTTTCTACCTTCCACGGCGAGGGATGACCAGTGTTAATTACACTATGGATGCACACTGTGGATCACACATTGATAAAGACAGATATGGTATCTGTCACACCAGGGGGTGGGTGGCAAGACTAGGCAGAGAAGGAGCGAATGGGCTGGGGGGACAGATCTAGGCTCAGAACAGGAGGCGATGGTGAGCTGTCACAGCATGACTGAGATTCGGAAGTCAGGGGCATGCGCAGTACTGACTCTTCATTGCTGTTAGGGGTGTAAATCAGAATCAGAAATCAAACATTCAAGAGTGTGGCCATAACCCAAGGTAGAAAGAAGAAATCAGGTGCTGAAGTGGTGAGTAGAAGATCAGATGCAAGGGGCTCCATGCCTCTGATGACCCCAGCCTGCCCAGCAGGACCGTCCTTGGTGGTCTGGCCGCATCACAGTGCCTCTCGCACAGACAGCATCAGCCCTGACGGTCTGTCAAGTGATCACGCAATACTGACATAAATATGAGATTCTTCCCCACACCACACCTGTCTGGGAGTAAAACAAAGCCACATTCAAGGAGGAAAAAGTCTTAGACTTACCGATCATCCTCAAATTTGTGAGAACTCAGACTCACTCAAAGCTGTCTTGCAGGAAGTCTCTGGGATGCGACAGATCACACAAGGGCACACATGGCCTTGGCCATCCCTATGGGCAGCCCAATGGAGCCTCCAGCCCAGCTCTCTCTGCCTGGCATGGTGTGCGATGTGGGCAGCCTGGTTTAACTATCCCTGAACGAAATGGCAATAAACCTCTCCTCTCCTGCAAGGCAGTTGGAAAGCCTCTAAGATAATAACATGTGTGGAGGGCCTGACATACAGCAGATGCATACATTTTGGTAGATTCCTTTTTCTTCCTCTTTCCCTTTGCTGACTTGTCTTATGAAAAGCAGCTTAGACTCCAAGAGAAGCTGAGAGGGAAGGGCTTTTGTCATTTCTGTGCTGTCCCCCTCCCACGCGGGCAGACCTGCATAGCCCAGGCCTTAGGTCGCGTGCTCCAGCCGACTGCAGAGGACCCCAACACCTGAGCAGGCCCCCAGCCACCGAATGGGTCTACTCCGCCTTTGCCGTCTCTGACACATTTCTTCCTCCTTCCAACAACGTGGTGAAGCCCCGTGTGGTCCAGAATCTCTGCCCAGGAGCCGAGCAACACCTGCCACAGCAGATCACTGGGCTTGTAGGCTGCCCTGGGCCGCAAGTGGGAACATTGGAGCAGAGAAAGCTTGTCGCCTTTGCTTACCAGCCCTGTCCAGGTGTTTAAGAAACAAGACGTGAAGAACCGCTGCTCAGGAACGTTTGTTCCGCCCAGTGAAATCACGGCCACTGTAAGCGCCCCCCGCTGGAGGCCCGTGTGCGGTCCTCGGGGCATGTGCAGCCAGAGGTCATCTCCAGCCAGCCGCCTGCGCGCAGACCTGGGAACGCTGCAGACTGCGCAGGAACACCGTCCTGCATTGCGACGGAGAGCTAATGGGCGCACTGACTCCACGGAATTTTCCTTTGGCAGCACCCGTAGTTAGAACAACGTTGGACTGGGGTGGGGCACAAATTTGGGTTTCCAAGCTTGGATTGTCCTCAGTTTGCTGTGTGCACCATGGGACCCCCGTGTGTCCAGTGACAGGGTGGAGGGGATGGTAGCTAAGTGTCCTTCCAGGTCCAAAGCCCCTGCAAGGCATGGCTGTGAAGATGCAGGGCTTGGAGTGGCACAGACACACCTTTGTCTCAGCTCCACCATTGATCTGCGAGTCACTAAAACTTTTTCGAGTTTAAAAGCAAAAATGGGGAATCATTTTAAGAGTTAAACAAGATAATGTAATCACAGTATTTAGCTCAGTGGTTGGCCTATAAAAAGAAGTTAATAAATTTTAAAACTCTACTGTGATTGCTTATAAGATCTGTTTGTTGGTAACAGTTAATAAATGTATTAACAAGATGGCTTTAAAGTTTAACGTTTAGTAAAGACATTGAACTTGGTGAGCAAGGTGAGGATTCCTGCTTCTGCATTGTTGTGCCAGAAAAGGTACAGAAAAAAAAGTCAAACAGACAAAACAAATAAGCACAAAGCATGTAGAACATCGCTCACTGCAGCAACGTCCACGGCGCAGCCCTGCAGGCCTGACAGCAGGGCCGTGCGTCTCCTGGGTGTCCAGTAGCCGCTCTGCTCCTGCCTGCGTTCTCATGGCGAGTAGGGCTATCACATCACAGAAGCAACCCGCAGAAACCCCATTTACAGTCAACCTGCCTAGAAAAGCCAAAGGAAAGAGTCAATGCAATTAACCCAGAGTGAAATCCTGCTTCGAAAAAATTCTCCCACTCTATTCTTGAATTTATAGTACAAGGTTTTTGCTGTAATGGCTCTTGTAAATTAATTGCAGACACAATTGTCTACGGGCATTCTCTGAAGAAGTGGCACATAGTTAATTGCACCCCGAATTAGCCAATTCTGCCCATAATTAACCATTTGAAGACAATTAATTGCATGCATAATATTTGCACCTGTGACTAATTGGAGACCCTTATATTGTTCCTGGAAGGAATAAATAAATAAGTAACAGCAACCACTACAAAAGAACCAGGAGCTCCTCTTTAAATGTGGCCCATTATAGTGCACAGTCCCACAGCACCCGGAGGGTGGGAGGGGACAGGGCTCAGGAAACGCTCGTCCGTGGAAAAGCAGCCGTCAGTCATCTACATGCACAAGGTTACAGAGCATTGTTTTTAACTTGCCTTCTTTCTTTCCCCACCCTGCCTGTTACTAAAATGAACTAACTGGCCTTAAACTTAATTTCTCTGGCTATCTAATCAAAAATTTAAGGCTCTCTAAGGTTTGGAAAAGTTAAGACCATCCCTCCCATTGAAATAAAGACGTTGTTTTAAGAGATAGGCTGCGTCCTCTGATTGCTGCCGTTGTTGCGGGAGGCTGGCTAACGGTGGTCGCCCCAGCGAAGAGCACATGTTCCAGCAGACCCACCGAGCAGGACAGGGCGTCTCACTACCTGGAGGCCTGCGCTTGTCTGTGGGTGAGCACCATCTCTTCTCACTCTTAAGGCAATAAATTGCCATTAGTAATAATAACAACAATGATAATTTAACAACAATTACAACCATAATCACCGTATAGTAAATTTTGCCTAGCACTTTATATGATCTCAGATATAGTTTATGCCCACTTTGTAGATGAAAAAATTGTTTAAGCTGCCTAATTTTCTTCACTTTCCACAGCCTATAATTGCAGAAATATATTTAAACTTGGGTAATCTAAGCATAGAGTGCTTAGTACCGTGCCTGAGACACAGTGAACACCCAATTATATACCTATTAATTTCTTAGCTTGTTCCCTTAAACGGCCATGTTGAGGATGGAATAATGCTCAGAGTTAAATGCCATGTGTTTATGATATGCTTTCTGTTCTAAGTGCTTCATTCGGACTAAATGAATTTAAACTCCATCCAAGAGCATGAGAAAAATATGATTATCCCCATTTTACAGATGATGAAACTGAAGCAGAGAAACAGTCAATAACTTGCTTAGGAATATGTAGCTGAAATCAGAGGATGAGCTGAGGAATTCAAACACTGACATTCTGGTTTAAAGTTGTGTACTTAACTGTCACACTATGTTGCCTTTTATAACCTGGACAGATGGATTGTCTATAAAAGCATACGTGTCCATGTGTGTAAACTTGGAAGCGACAAAGCAGTCTTAAAAAATCAATCAATCAAATAAAATAAACTGGCCTGGATGCTGAATGCTTATTTTCCAAATAGAAGCGGAACTGCTGTCTGGGGTTTAGGAAGAAAGAGGGTTTCTTCTTTCTGTGCTCGGTTTTCCAGCTGCACGAGGAGCAGGAGCCTGCCGGCTGCAGGCTGGTCCCGAAGGAGGAGGACGCGCTGGAGGCTCCAACGGCCAGGGAGAGCACCCTGGGCGACAGCTGCTGAGGAGCGGAAGCAGGAACAGAGTGGGACAGCAACGTGTGGGGACCCGACCAACCCCGATGGTGAGGCGCAGAGGGGCAGCGTCCATGCACCGGAGGGGGGGCACTGACAAGGAGGGCACTGTGCTCAGTGGGCACTTAGAGGTCCTGTGGGTCACCGGGCCCCTGGGCGTCATTGCTCTGCTCTTGTACACGTTGCTTCGTGGGGGTGGAGCCGCACTGCCCGGCAAGCTGAGCAACACTAACCCCTGATCCTCTATCACTGTGCAGGGAACTTGGGAGTGCCAGTTAATGATTTCGTGAAAGACAAACAGACCAGGGTTCATGCTGGAGTGGACGGAGCAGAGGCCCCCGTCTCCCTGCATCAGCCACAGGACTCCCCCCAGACTCCCGGTGGCCCAGGACACAGTGAAGCACAAACCTCTCGGGTGGGGCAGGGTGCGTGGATGTGAGCTTTACTAAGTCACACTGACAAGCTTTAAGGACACCAAAAAGTGCATGGTTTTCTCCCGAGAAATAAGCTTCAAACTTGGCCTCAAAGCCTCCCTGGCAGAAATTTTGAACAGGGCAAAAGGAACAATGGCAGCCGGGTCACATGCAGAGATAGCCTGGTCACTGGGCCATAAACCCGTCAATCAAAATACCGTGAGGCTGGTTTACAATCAGACACAAGCCCACATGAACTCCTCCTTCTGTCTGTATCTTCCCTACATACCCGTAAGTATGGGAGTGTCCTACAGGCCTTGCTGAATGCATGCTTGCAGGCGTGTCCATGTCAGCACGGCCACGGAACCTCCCCCCGGGCGGTTCCTGGTCATCAAACATGACATAGGACTTCTTAGAAAAGCCGTCTCCTTCTAGCAAAGCCACCCTTCCTTTCTTTTCACCTTTTCATGTCATTTGCTTAATTATCCATACTCACTTTTTTTGCTGCAGATTAATATTAAATGTAGGTATCCATATTATACCTTTTCCTTTGCAACATCGGAGCAGAGCTAGCCAGTATGGCCACACCTCACCTTCACCGTCACTATTTGGAGGTGAACAAGAGTGGTTTGTTAGCCACCGTAACCCTTTCGAGCCCTATAAAATGGGGAACCGAGGTCTCTGTGTGGGCAGCAGTCGCTCTTGCTTGCCGTCTTCTTTGGGGAAGAACACAGCAGTTTTGCATGTGGAACAACCCCTTTCCTGGCCCGCCTGCAGGCCCTCCTGTGTGGGAGGGACACACACATTGAGTGATGCCCACCCTTCCACTGTCCCATTCCACTCAGGAGACCCATGCCATCAGGTTCCGGACGTAGCTAGAGTTGCATACTTTATGACATGTGATTTTTGTACAGCTGTCTAGGCTGTCAGTCGTGGGTACCCACCATCTTCAGTTTCCTCTTGAATGCTGATTTTTCTGGATGCAGATTATTATACACATGTGATATTGCCTCCCACACTGGATTTTAAGTCCTCATTCTGTCTCTAGATAGATATCTGCACAAAGCACGCACACATAGGAGGATTCATCCCTGAGTGTCCATCATGGCAGCTGGCCTCCTGTCCTACAGCTTTTTCCCATCACCCACCCAAACTCACATTTAAAGCTCCCCTAATGAAACAGGCAAACATCCTGCTAAATATACGCTTTAGGAAAAGGGATAAATCTCTGATCAGCTTCTCTCTCCCATGTAGATGATCTTAGCCACGGGGAGGGCGAGGGCAAGGGGTTCTGTGGGCGAGGGCAGGGCAGCAAGAGACCTGAGCAGCCAGGGGACTGAGGAACGCAGCGGAGAGGAGGGAGGGGAGGCACTGAATAAACGCTACTTGGCCCTGGTCAGGCTTCCGGTCTTGTAAGATTCTTACATTTCCCCAGAGCTCCTCTACGTCCATATTTATTCTGACTCTGGGTGTTAATATTCAGAGAAACCTTACAACCCCACCTTCCTGGGCCCCGCCCTCTGTACTCCCTGATTGTCCCCCACAAAGGCACACAGACATCTATCGGGGAGCCTCCTGAGCACCACGTGGCATGAGCTCATACATGAATAATTTATACAGACATGTCTTCGCTGATGGATGCTACAACACGCAGAGTCGTACAAAAGCAATGAAAGAAGGTGCTCCCCGAATGTGAGGCACAAATCAGATGGCGGGGCGCCCAGCAGTATGGTGGAACATGGGCCTTAATAATGTTAAAATCTCTCCACAGCCTCCATGGTGTGAGCTTCAAAGATGCCAGCTCTCAAAACACTGCATCTCTTCAGAGCACCAGTCACAACACAGCCGTTTCTCACATTATTTGCAAGTTGCTCACCTGGCCCACTCTTCAAACACGACCTAATTGCCCCCTGCCAGGCAGCGGCCTGGCGTAAAATGCAGTCGCTATGTGGGAAGGTGGTGTGAGCATAGAACGTCTCACATCCAAACAGCCTGATTGAAGAGAACAGATGGAAAGAGGAGAGAGGTCAGGATAGGAATTAAGAATCAGATTCACATTTATTCACCAGCCCTCCCCACCCTCCATACACACATTTCAAAATGGTTGTCTCAAAAAAAATGGGAGAGAACAAAAAAATTGCAAACCCATTAGCCAAAGACAAATGACTCTCAGGCCCGAGGCCTCCCTTGTCTCACAAGTGGGCGGAAGTCATTTCTCAGCCTCGGAGACGCAGGCACTGTCTTCAAGGCTTCAGCTAGGCTGCCTGGGAAGTGAGTCAGACTTGAAGATCTAGTTCATCAACATTATGCTGCGCCTTGACCACGATTTCTGGCAGGCTAGACTGAGAGATGAAATATGAATGAAGAAGGGAGGAGACAAAGACAGGAGCTCCTGAGTGGGGCTGAATATTTTGTTCTGGGATGTCTGTGGGGGATGAAAGAAAGCAGGTGTCAGAGGGCCTGTGGAATCCATTCACATTTTCCCGAAGAGAAAGTCAGCCTTTTGACCCACAGGGAGGGGCATTTTTCAGACATAGGCTGAGCCTTGTTACAGCTAATGCATTGCTGTAAAAGTTCACAAAAAATGCCCAGGAGGAAAACAAAGGAGACTGTTCCAGAGAGCCTCTAGATCATCACACCGCCCTTGTGGAGGGGGGGGACCAGCAATGACCTACAGGTGCCGCTCACTTTACATGGTTTGAAGCCAAATTCTGCCCATAAGACTTTACACCGAGAGTCCTGTTTGGCAGCTGCAGCAGGAGTGTGCAGACATGCCTTAGATTTTACCAGTAAATATTAGGGAACACTGTGACTTGAAGATCATCTAGTGGCAGAACGTGAAGATGTGGCAATTTTCAAAGGAAAAAGCAGGTAATTCAAATTTAAAAATAAAGTTAGGGTCTGAAAAAATGTACACTTTTTAAAACTTTCTAGCAGAATTTGCTTGTGACACTTTTGATCTATATACGGCTAGAAAGCAACTCTCTCTCATTGTCTAACCCTTGCATGTATCTGCTACAACAGATTCATAATATGTCTAAAGCATGGGCTCTAATAATTGCAAAGTGGGTACAGAACTCTGTGCTGAGAAAGATTAATTTAATTCAGTGACAGGAGTGTGCTAAAATCCTGCTCTGGGCACATTGGAGGAATCAGGACATCGAGCTTGTGGTTTTCCAGATGCCTTGGAATTGTATGGAAGATAAGTGCAAGAACCAGTGGGGAAGGCCTGTGGCTCCTCACTGCTGTCCTGATGCCCTTCTGACAGTGAGGCCCCCTCTGCCCCATCTGTCCAGCCCTCAGACTGAATCTTAATGTGGAGAGAAGGGGCTAGGAGCTTTCTGACAATGGAAGCAGGCTCCATCAGTGACCTCAGAGAAAATAGGTCATGGCTCTTTAATCATTCCTTTCTGGGAGCTGACCTACCACACAGCTCCATCCAATGTGTTGAAATTAGCTCAAATTAGCTACAAGGAGACATTCAAAATGAGGAAGTATGCTGAATTTTCCTTCTACTGAAGGCTGCTTTCCGTACACAGGCACAGTGGGCTAACCTCCACTACGTGATGCCTACGGGGAAATTTGGTGAAACACTTTTACGTAAGTAAGCCAAGTTATAGGAATTCCAAAGGAAACTAACAGATTAATGTCACAGAGGAAAATATTTACTGGCTTAAAGCAAACAGGCTTTCTTTGCTTCCACAAAATAAAATGTTTGATCTAAGGGTATTAGCAAGGCTGTCCAATTAGTTTCAGAAACTACTTACTATAATTTTTTTTTTTAAGTGCTTTCTCCAGAGTTAGACAAAGGCAGTTTAAAGCACAGCCTGTGGAAATAAGGCCTGGGCTCACCTGGAGGCGATTCTCTCAGACTTTCACTATGAAGGCCACTGGTACAAAATCAACAGAGATGTACCTTGAAACTGGTACTGTTTCTGCCTGGCACCATTCTACTCAGCGGGCACATTAGGTAAAATAAGGTAGACAAGGGATGCGCGGATGTGCACACTTGAGGGAAATGTGGTTGTTTGGGGGTTAGGCACACTGGGAGGAAATGACAGGAAAGTGAAATAGGGACAGATTTTATCTTCAAGGTCAGAGGTCAGTGAACTGCATACTGGAGGCAGAGCCCATCTGGACCCTGTTTTTTTGAAGGCAGCTTTAAGGAGCCCAGCTTTGCCCAATAGGTTAGGTACTGGCCGTTGCTGCTTCCAGGCCAGCCGCAGGGCTGAGGAGCCGTAACAAAGACCTGAGGACTTGCAAAAGCCAAACCACTTACTACCTGGTTCTTTATAGAAAATGTTTGCCAACCCTGCTATAAGCCATGGACAGCATTAAAATGTGTTTCCATAATGACACAGG